ATTTATATATATATATATATATATATATATATATATATATATATAAATTTAATTTCAATCCACTTTTTTCAGAGTAATATAAAATATAATTAAAAATATTAATAAAAACAGGGATGGTGACATGGTGGCACAGTGGGTAGTGCTGTCGCCTCACAGCAAGAAGGTCGCTGGTTCGAACCTCGACTGGGTCAGTTGGCATTTCTGTGTGAAGTTTGCATGTTCTCCCTGTGTTTGTGTGAGTTTCCTCCGGCGGCTCCGGTTTCCCCCACAGTCCAAAGACATGCGCTAGGGGAAATTGCCTATGTATGCGAATCAGTGTGTATGGGTGTTTTCCAGTGATGGGTTGCAGCTGAAAGGGCATCTGCTGCATAAAAGATATGCTGGATAAGTTGGCGGTTCATTCCGCTGTGGCGACCCCAGATTAATAAAGATACTAAGCTGAAAAGAAAGTGAATGAATTTAATAAAAACAGTGATACCTTTAAGCTCCAAGCCCGTTTTTTAATTTAAATTTTGTTGGAATTTATACATATCTAATATTATATTAATGAATTCATTCATTCATTTTCTTTTCAGCTTAGTCCTTTTTTATTATATGAATATAATATTATATTAGGCTTTTATACAATAATATTACATACAGTAAACATTGCTACATATTTTCTTTGACAGATCTTTGACCTTTAATTATTAAAAAGTCTTTAATAGGCCTCATAGATATGTACATTAGATGTCGCCTATGTATCTAGGCCTCATGCAACTGAAGTTGTGTTGTTATAGCAACAACATACAACTGTTCATACAGGCTCTCAAAACATTGAAGATTCCGCTTACTATTTTAGGATTTCTCTTATCAATGGATCCTGCAGGTAAAGTGACCATGTTTACTATTTTATTTGTAGGTTTTAGTTTAAAATAAGTATTTAGATAAACAAGATAGGTATTCTGTTCGTTTAATGCCATCTAGCGGTAGTTACTGGCGCTAACGCTCCGGTTTCTCCGACTGTTTATTCTTTATTTTTTCGTCTCCAGAAAAGCGGCACCGGTCGGAGGCTCTGGCCGTCGGGCAGGTCAGTCACCATAGCATTGAGCTGGTCTGGAGCCGAGAAAAAGGCTCAAAATGGACAGACCCACCGCAAAACTGGACCTGCTTCATCCTGGAGCAGATGAACAACACAAAACACAGCTTTAAACAGATACACAAGTGAATTCTGCACTCAGTTTGTGACATAACAGAGCTTGTGACACTAAAGACATCTTTTTTTAGAGATTGTAAATTTAATGGCGCATCCCTTACAAGAATTAACCATGTTTTTTGATAGCACAATTGTAGTAATCAGGTTTTTTACCATAACATTTGTATACCAACAGTTTTATTAAAAATTACCATGGTAAAACTTTGATTGATGTTATAATAAAACCAGTTAATTTGGGGTTACATCTCATAGGCTACCATGGTAACCACAAACAAACAATGGTTTTTAAAATTTTAATAAAGTATCATCCAAAAACATGGTTAATTTTCTCAAGGGATCTGCTATAGCAAATCACGTAAGCAAGTGCTTGCATTTACTTAAAAATAAAAGTAATTTTGTGAATGTTAAGGGATAGTCCCCCTTCTGGAAAAAACTGCTTAAACCAGCCTAGGCTGGTTGGCTGGTTTTAGCTGGTTGACCTGATTTTAGAGGGGTTTTGGCCATTTCCAGGCTGGTTTCCAGCCTTTTCCAGCCTTGTCTTAGTTGGTCAGGCTGGGAGATGACCAGCTAAAACCAGCTTGACCAGCCTAGTCAGGCTGGAAGCCCAGCCTAAACCAGCTATGTCCAGCTGAAACCAGGCTGGCCAAGCTGGTTTTAGCAGGATTTAGCTGGTCATTTTCCAGCCTGACCAGCTAAGACCAGGCTGGAAATGGTCAAAACCCCTCTAAAACCAGGCTGGTCAACCAGCCAACCAGCCTAGGCTGGTTTAAGCTGGATTTTTCAGCAGGGTCACCCAAAAAATATATATTTTCTCATCATCTGAAGAATGTTTGGGGAGAAATAGCAGCCATTGACATCCATAGTAGGAACACGAAAAAAAACCTTGGAACTATATAGCCTCACTGTATATTCCTTTGTGTTCAACAGAATAAAGAAACTGCCATCCATTTAATCACAAAAATCTATGGGGAGCGTTTATGCTGGGATGTTGTGGCTTTAGTCCCAAACAAAGCACACAAATTCATGTAAATTTCTTGGATGTAGGCTACCACATCAAAAAAGTAATGTAACTTGTAACTTCCCAGGGTTTAAATAATTCTGGCACCGATGTGGCATGAAGCTAGCACAGCAGGCCTCCATTCGGTACTGGCATACAGCATGTGGGCCAAACATGACTCGGATTTGGCAGAGGTGGCACCGTCTTTAAGGTGGCACACTTGACTTGGCCCAAATGATAAATGTAGTATTTGACCCAGATGATAAAAATTGATATGTGGGTCATGTAAGTTTGGCTTAGCTTGACCCACATTTAAATAGTTAAAAAAAATTAAATAAAAAAAACATTTTAAAAATTCTACCAATAGTGTCCTTTGAGGAAAAAGCATGCCCATAGCACAATTAAAGCACAATGCTTCATGGGTTAATCAATTTTATTGCAGTCGTGACACAACAGTATATCTGGCCCAGTTATGGGTTATTGACTTGGCTGAGACTTGACAAAGATGTGGTTCATCTTTGGCCCTTGTCTGGAAGCCAGACATGTACCGTAGTTCACTGTGGCGAGTGGGCCACGCAAAAACTGATTGTGTGGGACATCTGGGCCAGAGAAATTTTGCTATGTAATGTGAGTAATAGGGTGCTAATAGAACTTTTAATTTGCCAGTAACCTGAGTTAAGCGCTTCCTGCGAATTGTAGGCCAATGCAAAAAACGGCACGTTTAAGGTCTGTTTTCTTTAAAAATCAGCGATCACCACTAGCTGAGTGATATCCGATATAAAGTAGGTCTCAGATTGTTTAAGAAGCACTGCATTAAATTACATTTACACCCGCCATGTCTTAATAATTTGAGCATTTATTTTACCCCAGTATATTCAATGGGGCTTCTGCGCTAGCCTGCCGATTCTTACGGGCGAGTGCGAGTAAACGGCTTTTTGTCTAGTTTTAAGCTTGAGCAACTAAATGAATGCCAAAGTTTATTTAACTGAATGTATTTTAATTACATTACAACATCGATACTGTAAAAGGAACTGTATAAAATGGAAAAAAGTTCACAATAAGAGGTCACTCACTGGAAGTTTATTAGTATGGGAAAAACACTAGCTCGGCATATACCCCATTACTTTTGTTATAAAGTAATCCAAACAGTAACTTGATTACTTCAAGCAGTATAAACTAATTTAATCACACCAAGAGTAACTCAACACTGCATGACTTGCCCAGCTAATTATTAACAGCTCTTAAGCAGTGTTGGGGGAAAAAAGTTATATATTTATACAAGTTATTTTTACTTTTTAATGAAAGTAATGTGAAAGTGTGTGGTTTCTTATTTTTGCATAAATAAAGATTAAAATTGTTATATAATGCTTTTTATTCTTTAGTTTTTTTTTTTTTTTTTACCACAACACTGCTCTTAGTTACCTTATTTTACAATGTAGTATTTGTTTAGTTGTAATCATTTTTACTGTATTTTATGGTATTTAATACTGTGTTTCTGGCTTGTTTAGGGGCTACAACACACGCTTCACGGTGGATAACCTAGAACCAAAAACCACCTACACTTTCAGACTGAAGGTCACGTGGCCATCTGGTCAGCAGCAGTATTACCCATCAGTCACTGCGTCTACAGAAAGTAAGGACACAAAACATGGCAAACCACTGACAAATCTTCATGTTTATGATATTTGATGATATCTGTGCTGCACATTTTTTATGAGTCCACACGTTCTTTCTTTTGAAGGTTATTGTGTAAACTACAATTTTTACAGTTTTTGTTCTTGACTTAAAAAGTTTGAGGTGTTATTAAGATTCAATTATTTTTAAAAGGTAAAAAATAATTGAATGCAAGCAAAATCAGTATTATAATCTTAGTAAAAATTAGTATAATCTTACTATAGTAAAAAAAAATAAAATAAATAAAAAAAATATATATATATATATATTTTTTTTTTTTGCAGTTTGTAAAAAATCATGTTGATTAATTATATATTATAAATAATAATATATATTAGATAAATAATATATATATATATATATATATATATATATATATATATATATATATATATATATATATACATACATATATATATATATATATATATATACATACATACCTATATATATATATATATATATATAGAGAGAGAGAGAGAGAGAGAGAGAGAGAGAGAGAGAGAGAGAGAGAGAGAGAGAGAGAGAGAAATAAGTCTGTACAATAACAAAAAATGTACTGGCAGTTTATTACAAGGTTTTTGTTGTGTAATATACAACACCAACCTAATATCACTTCAAACTATTAATAAGTAACCTTTTCCAAACTTTTACTGTAATTTGCGTTAATATTTTAGTGTTGCTTCATGTTGTCTTGGAAATTAAATTGAATTTGACTAAACCTCCTTTTGGGGAGGTTTCCCACATAGCAAAAATTTCTCTGGCCCAGATTTGTCCCACACAATCAGCTTTTGCTTGGCCCACATGCCACAGTGAATTATAGTACATGACTGACCAACTTTGGCTTCTAGACAGGGACCAAACATGCACCATATCTTTTCCAAGTCTCAGCCACGTCAATAACCCATAACTGGGCCTGAAAATATACTGTTGTGTCACGACTGCAATAAAATTAATAAACCCATGAAGCATTGTGCTTTAGGCGTGCTATGTGCATGCTTTCCCATCAAAGGACCCGATTGAAATAATTTTTTTCTTTACCTAAAAATTATTTAAATGTATTTTAAATGTGGGTCAAGATAAGCCAAACTTACATGGTCCGCATACCAATGATTAACATCTGGGGCAAATACTACATTTAACATTTGGGCCAAGTCAAGTGTGCCACCTTAAAGATGGTGCCACCTCTGCCAAATCCGAGTCATGTTTGGCCCACATGCTGTATGCCTGTGCTCAGGGGCGGACTGGGACTAAAAATCAGCCCTGGCACTGTAGCCACACCAGCCCACATTACCACATCGACACAGCCCCATCCACGGACACGCACATTCACTACTTATATTGTTGTATAGATGGTGAAATAATGTAAGCAGTACCATATTTTACGCAGCGGATGTCCTCCAAGCTGCAACCCATCATTGGGAAACCCCTATACACACACATTCACATACATGCACCACAGACAATTAGGCCTACCCAATTCACCTATAGCACATGTGTTTGGACTTGTAAGGGAAACCAGGAGGAAACCCACGCGAACATGCAAACTCCACACAGAAACACCAACTGAGCCAGCCGAGGTTTGAACCATTGACCTTCTTGCTGTCGACATTGTCCTCACGAAACTGAAACTATTTCAGTTAATTTTATGCATTTGGCAGCGTCTGATTTTAGAGCAGTTTTTGGCTTTCTCTGGACTTTTCGGCACCGCCTTTCCTTTTTTTACGGTCCATCTCTGACAATTAGCTTGTGTTGCACTTACTGTTTGTTTGACATTCTCGCCAAATTTTGATTACGCCCACGTAACCTCTGATTGGGTCGGCCCATCTCGAAACCAGTCGGCTATTGCCGATTGGGCCAATGCTTAACATTTATTATCATCATTATTATTATTATTATTATCATCATCATCATCATCATCATAATATTCACATCTTGCAAGAGATAAAAGCTGCCTGCATGTAAAAACAATACATATAAAAAACGTTATTAAAAAAAAAAACATACCGGCCCACATTTAAAAAATGGTCCGGCCCTTCTGGCATTTGCCAGAATTGCCAGATGGCCAGTCCTCCCCTGCCTGTGCTGAAGGAATGCCTGCTGTGCCAACTTTATGCCACATCTGTGCCAGAATTCGTCAAGTGGTGCTCGCTGCAGAGCCATTTGAGGAGAGGTGAGCTCCAGAGAGGGGGAGCTTAAGCTTGAGCTCCACCTTTTTTGCACTTCTTCTACGAGTGATGTCACTGGGGGTAGGGTTAGGGGTGGGGTTGGTGTACGCATTAAAACAGCTTACAGGAGGAGGAGCGACAGCTCATGCTCCCCCTCTCTGGAGCTCACCTCTCCTCAGATGGCTCTGCAGCGAGCACCCTCTCGAATTCGTTGCTACCTGGGTTTCCATTTGCAGACTCCCTCTGCTGTAAAATAAAAGTCATGTCCGACTGTGTTTTCCTCAGAGCCGCCTCTGAATGGGAAGAATCTTCACAGCGCCGTCCTCAAGACTGATGAAGTGGAGCTCTGCCGAGTGCTGCAGTCTGGGTGAGTTTATTAACACTCAAATCAACATCTAAACCAACTTCACTCAGGAGAGCTTAGGTTTATCATTCATAAATCTTGCATTCATCAGATGCCTTAACCATGAAGAACTTCTAAATGAACACAGGGATTGAACCACAGCACATGAGACGCTCAGATGTTGTAAATACTATAGTGTTTTTGAACCCTACTACAGTAAAGTACATTCATTAATCTGTTGTGGTAATTATATAGTTGCTATTGTAACCCAACAACTACAATAATGTAAACAAATGATGCAATACTGTAGTTTTATACAACTGTACTGTATATTATACTACAGTACAGCACAGTTTATTGTTGTAATGAAAATAAAGTATACCACAATATTTATCACAGTTTATCACAGGGTGTTCATGGGGTCTTGAAAGTATTAAAAGTTACAGAAGTTTAAGGCCCTTAAAGAGTATTAAAGAAAGTGATAAGTGCTATTTTACATGGAATTCATATAAATATAAAATTATATGCCAAGATTTGAATCTAATTAAATCTGTTTAGCTGTGCCTTTACTGAATGAGCACTGTGCTGCGTCCGACAGATCCTACTATTATGTTTTTCTCTTCTTCTTCATTCTTTTATATCACATTTTACCTGTTTTTATGTTTTTGAATCAGTTTTATTTTTTTGCTTTTATTTATTTATTTATTTATTTTTACTTGTTTCTTTTATTCTTGTTTATGTAAAGCACTTTGAATTGCCACTGTGTATGAAATGTGCTATATAAATAAACTTGCCTTGCCTAATCAGAAAATATTGGGATACTGTGTAGAATAGTACTATGTACTGTATATATAGTATTTACAACACTTGAGTCACTTCAGATAGTTCAGCCTGTGATAAAGCAGATTATTTTTCTTGTCACGTACTAGTATTTTTTATAAAAATCGTTTTTGATTTCTGATTCTAAATTTGAAAACATTTAGAAATCAATATCGGTATTGGCCAATTTTTCTTACAATAAGAATTAAGTAAATATACAACCTAAAATGTTCCCTATGTTACCGGTTCAAATCGAAACAGTGGCGATGAGGTCTTAAAATGTATGGAAAGAGTTTTAAAAAGGTCTTAAAAGGTATTGAATTTAACACTATGATTCCTGTCTGTCTCAATTTACTATAGTACTATATTACACTATAGTAGACTACAGTATGCTGGAGCAATCATTCATCAAGTGTTGTAAATACTATAATATATACAGTATACAGTACAGGTTCAAAAACATTATAGTATTTAATATAAATTACTATAGTTTTTTTTTTTTTTTATGTGTCTTGGTAGAACGGTCACAGTAGACGTTCCTGACCGGCTGGACTACACTCCTCTCATGATGGCAGCCATAAAGGGCTTTACTAGGTAATAAAGGCTTATTCAGATATTTCTGTGCATCTGCATGTCTGTCTGTCTATTCAAGTGTGTTTTGTGTCGTAGTGGAGTTCAGATTTTGGTGCATCATGGTGCCGATGTGAGCAGAAAAAACAGCAGTGGCAAAGACAGGTGAGCCTTCCTTCCTGCATTTCTGCCTTCCTTCTTTCCTTCCTGCCTTCTTTCCTGCCTTCCTTCCTTCCTGCCTTCCTTCCTTCCTTCCTTCCTGCCTTCCTTCCTTCCTTCCTTCCTTCCGCTCATTTGGGGATCTCTCATATTATGAAAAATGACTAAATGTTTCAGTGAAAAATCTAAATTAGCAACATGTCAGACTATTTTGCAGAGCTGTTCTCAAATCTATGACCGTCTTACATTACCAGCTAATGAAAAAGTAAATAAAATAATAATAATGATAAATAGTTTATGGGTGGCACGGTGGCTCAGCCTCAGTGGTTAGCACTGTCGCCTCACAGCAAGAAGGTCGCTGGTCCTAGTCCTGGCTGTGCTCGTAGGCATTTCTGTGTAGAGTTTGCATGTTCTCCCCGTGTTGACGCGTGTTTCCTCTTGGTGCTCTGGTTTCCCCCACAGTCCAAACACATGCACTATAGGGGAATTGGATAAACTAAATTGTCTGTAGTGTGTGTATATGAGTGTGCGTGTGTGTGTGTGTGTGTGAATGTAAGAGTGTATGGGTGTTTCCCAATACTGGGTTGCACCTGGAAGGGCATTCCATGCGTAGAACATATGCTGGAATAGTTGGCTGTTCATTCTGCTGTGGCGACCTCTGAAATAGAGAGTAAACCGAAGGAAAATTAATGAATAGTTAGTGATAGCTGAAATATTGTCAGGTTTTTATTCTAGGACTGCAAGTAAAATTCACTTGTCTAGTGATGCTATTGTTTTTTTTTTTTTTGTAGCCGTAATTGTGAAACCACTAAATAATTGTCAAGTTAAATTTTGTTTCTGCCACTCTATTTGATTCCTTTGTTATAAAGTACAATATTACTATAATTTCGATGTGAGAAACTGCTGAAAAGCTGTGTGAATTGTGAAAAAGTCCATTTAAAACAAAAATTTACAATGTTTATGTTGTTAGCGCACATGGTTATCCTTTTGGTGAAAAATAAATCCATGCAAGTTAATCCACTAAAAAAATATGTAGTTTGTTTTGGTAAACTTGAGTATTTGCTTCCTCGATTTGAGAGGTGGACCTTTTCTCTTGATGTCAGTTTGACGCTTCAGCCACAATATTCTGAACCACACTCCTCAAAAAGAAAGCCCCACCCCCAGGCCCGGATTGGCTAATCGGGAGGACCGGGAGAATTCCCGGTGGGCCGGTCCGTTTTTTGGCCGCGAGGGCCGGTGTCCGTAGCTCCAGAATCTTTTGCTCTCAGCAGTCACACTTTTTAAATTTATTTATTTACTTGACCACAGCCTTTTTATTCATTATTTTACCGCAACTCTTCTCTTTTCATTTATTTTAATGATTATAAAACTCAGTTGTGTCTCCGTTTTGAACACAGCTATTGTGGTCCAGCGGTTAGCTTGTTAGGTTAAAACGCTGCGGACCCGGGTTCGGTCCTCATTAAAGTAACTTATTGTTTTCGTTTTTATTGTTAAGACATATAATACTGTTAGGGTTGTTGAACATTTTAAGTTCTAAAGCAGCTGTTTTTTTTTCAGAAAAAGACGTGATAGTGTCATTAGAAACTGATTTGGAAATGACCTTATTTTAATATAGTCAGTCGTGAACTGAGGTGGGCCGGTCTGAGGCTTGAAACTCCAGGGCTGAAAAGGTGTCCCACTCCGGCCCTGCCCACCCCTACTAAATATTCTGTTTCAGTTGGAAGTACATCAACACACTGAAAATAATGCTACATCCCATACTATATTTCCTAAAAATTATTTGGAAATAAAACTAGTATATCCAAAAAGTGTAGTATGTTGAAAGAGTTTGCCAAAGGTTCCTGGATGCTTGACTATTTCCAGAAGAAATTAGAGGTGTAGAGCCATCCATACTCTAACCCCTAATATTACTTTGTGTGTTGGACGTGAATTTGATTAAAACTACAAACTTGGGTAAAAAGTGTAAACAAACTACAAATATGGTGGTTGTGAGAAACCAAACGTCAAGTTTAATATTAAAAGTTAAAAATATTTAAATAACTTTTGCAGTGTTATCAAAAAAGTACTTACTTTCAGGATGTAGTGTATGTGCGAATTGTGACAGAGCAAAGGTCTTTCCTGTTAACACTGACTTTATATCTGAAATGGTTTTCTGAAACGGACTCTAGGTAAATCGTCAAATCGGAATTGTTACATCTGACATTTTTTTCTTTCTCTAAACTGTTGAATCAGCCTGATGTTGGCATGTTTTCATGGGCACCTGGATGTGGTGAAGCTGCTGTGTGGGTGCGGCGCGTCCTGGAGAGCTCGAGACCGGACGGGCTGCTGTTCTCTGCATTGGGCCACAGCTGGAGGACAGCTGGACATCCTGCAGTACCTCATACAGTATGGATGTGAGGTCAGAAGGTCATCAGTAGGCTAAACATATATGGCTTGGCCAAGAAAAATCAAATACACTGATTAGACAGACGTCACGTGTGTAGTCATTCAATACTGTGCATTTTTATGTATTTTGTGCTAATCTATTACAGTTTTTACTCGCAGTCCAAATTTAGCCTTGTTTTAGCAAAGTCATCTATGTTTGGATGTCTATTAAACAAACAAAACTGCTTGGTGGGATATTCAGGATACCCAAGTGACAACAAAGACAAAAAAAACACACATTTTAACTATTATTGTTAATTTAGTTAATTCACAGGGGCAGTTCACACAAAAACAAAAATTTCCTCAAGTGGTCAAACTCAAGTAGTCGTAAACTTTTATCTAGCGGTGGGGCATTATCGGCATTAACGTAAAAAATTAACGAAAAAAATAAATCGGCGTTAAGCTATTCTCAAAGTTGGGTTTGGAGCTGGGTCTACTCTACGCAAGCTATAATGACTACCTTGATATTTTAACGCGGATGTATACCAGGCCGGTGAACCGTCTGACAAAAAAGTGCCCTTCTGAATCAAACCAGCAGGATGCCCTTCTGAATCTTTCACTTACTTCGAACACACTACTGACTACACTTACATCTGTAATCTAGTTATTTGCCTTAATAGAAAATTATATAATTAAGGTGTTTACATGAAGAGCTTTCATGTAAGAGTTTCCTGTAGTTTTTGGTGACTTTAACAGCAGTTCGGCAGTTTCACTTTCATTCATGTCCCCGTGGCAAACTGGGGTATTATGCTGTGTTCACTCAGATGTGAAACGAGCAGATAAATCGCGATATTCGCTCGTAAATAGCCGCGTGAATATTTGAGTTTGCTTGCTTCATTCACGTGTCAAATCTGCTTCGTTCGCGCATCAAATTCACTTCAGAACAGCTTCTGTTTGCGTCATGTGCAGGGCTTCTGTCTGCCCGGTGACTGTAGCTTCGTTGCGAAATGGCTAACACAGATTTTTTTGAGCAAATAACAGTGTTTATGTGCTTTATGTAGACTGAAAAACAGGGTCGATACGTTTAGGGTCGTGTCTGAGTCCACTAGATGCTTTCATAGGTGCACCAGCCCTGTGAGCTCATAAACTTTCAGAAGCCATCCCTGGATGATGGAGGCTTTCAGCGGTGCTTCTGACTGAGCCAAGCCCAGTTTGATGAACTGTTGTCGGTGTCGGCTGGAGGATTTCCCCCGGGACACCAACACCAGGCGCCACGTCACAATAACACCCCCACAAGAGCAAGCTCCTGATTGGTTAACACTGTGCGAATGTCCGCTTAAGATTTTTGAACTCGAGCGATTCGCTTCAAACTCTTCAAACGCTCAATTCCTGCCACGCCATTCGCGAGAATCGCGTCATTCGCGCCACGCCATTCGCAAGTATCATGCCTATTTGCGCGTGAGAGTGTTGTGGAATTTAATAGCGCACGCCGAATGGAAAGAAAAAAACTTCCGCATTTTGCAATGTGTGTGTGTGTGTGGTTCTTTACTGTGTGTGGATCTTGTCCGAAAATATGGCGAAAAGTCCTACATGACGGTAATAGTTTCATTGTATTGTTTACTTTAATAATGCCACTAATATCTGCATACTCCACATGTCCTAATGCCATATCTGTTTAGTTCAGTTCTGACTTTAGTCGGATTAAGGTGATCAAAAATCGCTGTTTGGAGCTTATGTTGGTCTACAGTTCAATATTCATGTTTAACTGAATAAACAGTTGATAAACACAAGCACATCTTATTGAACATCATTTATTTTCATCACCAATTATCATAGTAGAACAGTTACTCAAGCAGTTTGTGATGCATTTTGGAAACAGGAGATGAGCCCCTGGTCTTATGCGCCACCTGGCTTGAGAAAGCCGTTCTCAAAGACTTGCTTTTAGTCATTATTTGGGTAGCACACATATTCTGAATGCCTTCGGCAGAGTTCAAATGAGCCGTTTTAATCTAGATTAATTTTAAGATTACAGTGAGATTAATCTAGATTTTAAAAACAAATCTCTGCCCACCTATACTATTATCATTTTCTGTTGAACACAAAACAAGATGTTCTGATTGTTGGAAAAACTATACTATGGAGATCAATGGCTGATTTTTTCCCCAGTTTATTTCAAGATGTCCCAAAAATGACTTTTCCTACAAAAAATGTTAGAGAAAGAGGAACATGCTATTACCTGATGTTCTCCTGTTTCAGGTCAATGTGCAGGACAACATCGCGTGGACGCCGCTCATGATCGTGTCGGTCATTACTGGAGATCCGGCTGTGGCTTCACTGTTGATCAGCGCTGGAGCCGATGTCAATGTGCAGGACAGAGACGGGAAAACACCACTGATGGTCAGAACTCAAACATTGCTCACTTCATCTGTGTGTGTTTAGCTGGTGCTGCTTCTCATACTTTTTTTGATCAAGTGACGTGCATATTAAATTATATTATTAGATTAGATTATACCCTGTTTACAAAATGTAAAGTAAGTCCCTGATGTTTCTAGAGTGTGAATGTGAAGTTTCAGCACAAAATCCACAAATAATGTTTTATTTGGCCAAAATCATTTAAATTCAAATGAGATTGTGCTCTTTTCAGAAGAGGGCGGAGCTACAAATGCCTATGAGTCAGCATAGTGGCAGATTCAGAAGCCTTATGCCGAGTTCAGACTGCATGATTTTCAAACTAGCCGTGTCACAGATGTTTTCACACTGCATGACTATCTGGGCTAGCGTTTCATCGCTGCTTTGTTTACACTGCAAGATGGTTCGGCGACATGGACATTCACATTGCATGACTTTACTATAGGGAGAATCACCGACAACTTCGTCCAAACTACGTCTCACAGCCAAAAACATGTAGTATGTCTTTTGTTATTAACTACATAATGAGAAAGAAGACTGTAATGGGGTAGAACATGTACATGTTTGCTCACCTGGGTTAAAGGGAATTAGCCATTTCTCCTCAACGTTGATAATAAACTCATTTCTTTCTGTATGAAACGTCAAACAGACACGGTTGCTCCTGAGTCCTGTCAAACCTCCACTAGTTTTTCCTCCATTTCGTGGGTCCAAATAAACTGAAAAAGAGCGCTTTTAACTTCTTCGCCAGCCTCCCGCTGGCCTGCAGCAGGTATACACACACGCACACACAAGTGAATGCTGCTCTCTCATTGGCTGTAGGTGATCGCTGATGTTATTTTCAGTCAAAACTCAATTCACACGGCATGATTTGAATCGCCGACAGCTCCAGATATTTAGCATGCCAAATATCTCACAGGCATCGGCGACTCATCGGCGATTCTCTCAGATCGCGTCTTTGAAAGTTCATACTGTGTGATTGTCACTCACGTGCACGAGCAGCGTGCTTCAGGCTGTGATTTCAGGCATTTGTCGGCGATTTCTCAAAACCTGTCGGCGAGCCAAAATTGGGGCTAAAATCACGTAGTCTGAACTAGGCATTAGAAGGCAGTCTATGGAGACTGCCGTGTTCATTTGAGCATCCTAAAAATCCACATTTATAATCTTATTAGTCGCTGACATTATCTTCAGCAGGATAAAACTTTGATGGCAGACGGCTGCTTCTTACTCGGGTGATGGTTACTAGTGGGCAAGGCTTCCCCCCTCTAATAACAACTGCAAATAGACAATGTCATTCAAAGTGTTTCTGCAGACTGTTTTTATAATGATTATAAAAAATATAATTAATAAATTTTACCATTTAGAGGCTGGATATATTCCCACTGTGTTTAACCCCTTGTGAAAAAGATTTTAAATAATAGGTCACCTTTAACATAAAGCTTAAAATAAAATGTCCCGTCTTTCGGATGAGATGTTAAACCGAGGTCCTGACTCTCTGTGGTTGTTAAAAATCCTAGGTTGTCTTTCGAAAAAGAGTAGGGGTTTACACCGGCATCAAATTTACCCACTGGCCTCTGTCCATCATGGCCCAATATCATAGTTGGCTTCATCATTCTGTCTCCTCTACACCAATCAGCTGGTGTGTGGTGTGCGATCTGGCGCAAAATGGCTGCCGTCGCGTTATCCAGGTGGATGCCGCACACTGGTGGTGGATGAGGAGATTCTTCCCAATGTGTAAAGCGCTTTGAGTGCCCAGAAAAGAGCTATATAAATGTAAGGAGTTAGTTAGTTAGTTAAAAATCATAACAGCACATAAAATAGAACATAATAGTATACATACATTCTTCTTCTTATGATCTTGAGCACTTAAACTTTACTACTTGCTGTGATGTAAAAACAAACAAACAAACAAACAAACAAGCTGATTGATAAAGATGTACATCACTTAGATGTAACAAAAAAAATATTAAGTTTCTTATTTTTGTGCACTTTTATCCTTATAATTGTTGGATATTTTCATTGTCTTAAGGATGTGTAATTTTCAAAATTGCATTTTGGTAGTTTACACATGCACAATCATCATGTCTGTTTGAAATCAAGCAAAGGATTTTATGTATTCAAGTAAATGACTGTGTATGAATTGTCTTGCAGGTTGCTGTGCTGAATAACTATGAGCATCTGGTTCAGATCCTGCTGAAGAAAGGAGCTGATCCAAACATTCAGAATAAGGTCAGAACTTCCTAAAATCAGACATTTTCAAAAAAAAAAATATATATATATGGCATTAAAAAAATGTATCTACTTTAAAACGATTTAAAAAAAAGAAAAAGAAAAAAAGAGTTTTCATTATTAAAAAATTTAAATAATTATATTATAAAAATAAAAAAAATATTATTATAAAAAACAAAAATTATATATTTATATTGAAGTCTAAATTATTTTTTTTCTCAAATAATTCTCAAATGATGTTTAATAGTCCAAGGAACTTTTTACAGTATTTCCAATAATATATGTTTTTTCATAGTTTGGCTGGGATTAAAAACTATTTTACGGTCTATATTATTAGGCTATTAATAGTTTTAATAACTCATTTCTAATAACTTTCTTTTATCATGATGACAGCACATAATATTTGACTAGATATTTTTCAAAGTACTAATATTCAGCTTAAAATAACATTTAAAGGCTTAACTAGGTTAATTAGATTAATTAGGCAAGTCATTGTATAACAGTGGTTTGTTCTGTAGACAAATATTGCTTAAGGGGACTAATAATACTGACCTTAAAATTATTATTATTATTTTTTTTATTAAAACTGCTTTTGTTCTTGCAGAAATAAAACAAATAAGACTTTCTCCAGAAGAACAAAATATATAGGAAATAGTGTGAAAAATTCCTTGCTCTGTTCAACATCATTTGGGAAACATTTGAATAAGAAAAAAAATGTATAAAAATAATTCTTACTTCAACTGTGTATACAGTCGAAACCAGAAGTTTACATACACTCTAAAAAAGGAACAACCATTTTTTTAAAGATGATGGTAAATCATACAAAACGTTTACTATTATAGGTCTGTTAGGATTAAATAAATCATTTATATTTGCTAAATGCCAGAATAATGAGAGAATAATGAGAATTATAAAAGTTTACACACATTTCCTTTGTATTTTTTTAGCTTTGCTTTTAAACTGTATAACTTTGGTCAAATGTTTTGGGAATCCTTATACAAGCTTCTCACAATAGTTTGAAGGAATTTTGGCCCATTCCTCCTGACAGAATTGGTGTAACTGAGTCAGATTTGTTGGCTGTCTTGCTCGCACAAGCTTTTTCAACTCTGCCCACAAATTTTCTATAGGATTGAGTTCAGGGCTTTGTGATGGCCACTCCAAAACATTCCCTCTGTTGTCCTTAAAGCACATTTTCACTAATTTGGCAGTATGCTTAGGGTCATGGTCTGTTTGGCAGACCCATTTGTGGCCAAGTTTTAATTTCCTGGCTGATATCTTGAGATGTTGCTTCAGTATTTCTACATAATGTTCTTTCTTCATGATGCCATCTATGCTGTGAAGTGGACCAGTCCCTCCTGCAGCAAAACAGCCCCACAACATGATGCTGCCGCCCCCATACTTCACAGTTAGGATGGTGTTCCTGGCTTGTAAGCTTTCCCCTTTGTCCTCCAAATGTAACACTGGTCATTATGGCCAAACAGTTCAATCTTAGTTCCATCAGACCACAGGACATGTCTCCAAAAATTAGTCTTTTTCCCAGTGTCATTTAGCGAATTGTAATCTGGCTTTGTTGTTGATTCTGGCTTGTTGATTTCTCCATGTTGTCACACAAGGAAGCAGTGTGTTTGAGGTTTTCCTTAAATACTGTTCTACAGTTGTGCCTCCAATTAACTCAAATGTTGTCAATTAGCCAATCAGAAACTTCCAAAACCTTGACATCATCATCTGAGCTTTTTCAGAGGCAGAATAATCTTATTGTGTGTAAACTTGACTTTCAAGAAATGTTATAACAATTTCTCAAAAATCTCTCTCTTAATATTCTGCTATTAAGCAGAACAGAAACAAATCTGATAATCCTAACTAACCTAAAAGAGAAAAAGGTTAGTCACTTTAACATCTGACTATTTTTTTAAATGGTTATGCACCTTTTTATACAGTCTATGTAAACTTCAGGTTTCAACTGTATATATAAACTTTTTTTTTGGGGAAATCAATAACATTTTCCTCTGGTTATAAAACTGTATCCTGTATTCATTAATCTGACCAGTCTATTTCTCTGCTTCAGTGTGGAGTTAGTGCTCTGGAGATGGCCAAAGCATTCGACAGGCAGGTAAATCCACACGTTTCATTAATCAACTTGGCCATCACCACTTTAAACTGTTGAAATATGACCTACATTGATTTTTTCTTTCAGAATATCATCAGTTTATTGGAGGACGAGGAGTCCGAGAGGCCAAAATAAAGAAAGAAATAACAGAAAGGTTTTATAAACGACTTTATTAGCGCCGGCCTTTATGCAGACCGTTCAACATACGGTATCTGATTTCACATTTCATGATTAATCAAAGACTCATCATTATAAAAAAAGCAAGTTTACACCCGTGACACTACAGAAAACGAACATTACATGAGCAGATTTACTGAATGCAGATACAACATGTGAATAAAGGATAACTGTGGTTAAAACAAGCAAAGGCAGTGACATAGAGATGTACCGTCATAATCATCTGTAATGCACTGTGTGGTTTAACACTGTAGAAAAGGCAACAAGACACTTCAGACGCCGCCGTGTTCGCTAATACAGTAAATAAAGATGATTTTACAATGTAAACACTGAGATATAACGGCACTCATAGGGTGTCCAGTATATACAGGCCTGAATGACCCACGGTTCAGATCAGAAATGGCTCAGTGGCGGTCAATGGGTCACACTTCACAATAAGGTTTCATTAGTTAATGTCAATACATTCACTAACATGAACTAGTTATAAATACAATACTTGTGCAGCATTTATTAATCATAGCTTGCATTATTAAAATCCATATTCATAACCATTAGTTGATTCACTTTGAGTTAACATGAACTAACAATAAACAAATTTGATGAATAAATACTTTAATTAATGTATTGTTGATTGTTTGTTTGTTAGTAAATACATTAACTAACATTACCTATTACAATCTTATTGTAAAGTGTCACCGTAAAATGAATTGATATCAGTGCCAAACAACAACCTTTTACTTCACCCGCCATTGGAGGTGAAATTTACCAACCATATAATCAGAAACACGTATTTTAGCCCATTCCAATGATTTAGCATTTTAATACACTACTGTTTATAACTTTGAGGTCAGGACATTTTTTATATTTTTACTTTCAATAAACAAAAGTGCATTTAAAAAAATAAAAATGAAATGAAATTTAAATATTTAGATGATTTAAGTCCTCAGAAATAGCCAAATATTGACATATCCTAAATTAAAAAATGAGAACGAAAACATTTTAATGTTAAAAAAGAAAATTTTCCACCATAAATATATCAGAAATTAATTTTTGATTACAAATATGGTTTAATTTAATTTGGACAACTTTAAAAGCAATTTTCTCAATATTTAGATGTTTTTGAGCCCTCAGATTATGCTGAATATTCTGCATTTAAAAACGAGAATGAAAACATTTTAATGTTAAAGATTTTATTTAATTGAAAATGTTGTTTAAATAATTTATTTAAAGAGTTGATTTTGTAAATTTTCCACCATAATTATATTAAAACTTTTTTTTCATTGTAATATGAATTGTTAAGAATTTACTTTGAACTTTATGAAACATTTTTATTGACATATTTAGATGTTTTTGAAGCCCCAGATTCCAAATTTTCTAACAGTTGTGTATGAGCCAAATATTGACATATCCTGCAATATATTGTTTTTTATTTAATTGAAAATGTCTTTTTCTTTCAGAACTTTGAATACATCAAAGAGTTGGTTTTGTAATTTTCTACATAATTTTTGTAAATTTCCCACCATAAATATATATCGAAACGTAATTTTTGATAAGTAATATGCATTGCTAAGAATTTAGTTTTAAAAACTTTAAAAGCAATTTTCTGAATATTTAGATGTTTTTGAACCCTCAGATTCCAGATTTTTTAATATTAATAGTGCATTTAAAAGACGAGAATGAAAACATTTTTTCAATTGAAAATTTAGTTTAAATGTTTAAATGATTCATTGGAGAGTTGGTTTAGTAATTTCCTACATTATATTGTAAATTTTCCACCATAAATATATAATAAATAAATTTTTAATTAGAACAACATTTGGACAACTTTAAAAGCGATTTTCTGAATATTTAGATGTTTTAAACTCTTAGATTCCAGATTTTCTAATAGTGGTGTGACAGCCAAATATCATCATATCCTGCAATAAAAAAAAAGAAAAGAAAATGAAAACATTTAATGTTTTAAAATAATTAATTTAATTGATTTTGGTTAAATGTTGTTTTTTAGAACTTAAACTTTAATACTTTTATTTGAAAATATGCATTTAAAAAATGAAAATGAAAACATTTATAGGTCACAAAAGATTTTATCTAATTGAAAATGTTTAAATGATTTAATCAAAGAGTTGATTTTGTAAATTTCTCACCATAATTATATCAAAACTTTTTGTTTTTGTTTTTGATTGGTATATGGAACAATATACCATAAAAACTTTATGGAACAATGTTATCTGAATATTTAGATGTTTTTGAAGCCCCAGATTCCAGATTTACTAATAGTTGTGAATGAGCCAAATAATGACATATCCTGCATTTTTTTTTTTTATCTAATAGAAAATGCTGTTTTTTAGACCTTTGGGTTCATTAAGGAGTTGGTGTTTGTAATTTTCCACATCATTTTTGTCAACTTCCCACCATAAATATATCAAAACCTAACTTTTGATTTGTAATACGCATTGCTAAGAATTTAGTTTCGACAACCTTAAAAATAATTTTGTGAATATGTAGATGTTTTTGAACCCTCAGATTCTAGATTTTCCAATAGTGGCATACCAGTCAAATATCGACAACCTGCATTTAAAAAATGAGAATGAAAACATTTTAACGTTAAAAAAGATTTGATTTAATTAAAAATCTTGTTTAAATGATTCATAAAAGAGTTGGTTTTGTAATTTCCGACATCAATTAGAACATTTTCCACCATTAATATATAATAAATTTACTTTTGATTAGTAAAATGCATTGCTAAGAATTTAGTTTGGACAGCTTTAAAAGTGATTTCCTAAATATTTAGATGTTTTATTAAATGTATTACTATTTAGTTGAAAAGGTTGCTTTTAGTTGGATTTAAATTTGAAATCTTCTACATCATTTTTGTAAAATTTCATCCATTAACATATCAAAACTTGAACATTTTGACAAAGAATATGATTTGTATATGAAATATGATTTAATTTGGACAACTTTAAAAAACATTTTCAGAATATTTTAATGTTTTTGAATTCTCAGATTATAGATTTTCTAATTGTGGTATATCAGCCAAATATTGACATGTCCTGCATTAAAAAAAAAGAAAAAAAAACATTTTAAGGTTCAAAAATTATTTTATTTAATTGAACTTTAAAAGCAATTTTATCTGAATATTTAGATATTTTTGAACCAGATTCCAGATTTTCTAATAGTTGTATATCAGCCAAATATTGACAAATCCTAACAAACTACACATCAATGGAAAGCTTATTTTATTCAGCGTTTTTTTTTTAAATACACCCTTATTACTGGTTTTGTAACCCAATGCCGCACATTAGAATAATGTCTGAAGGATCATGTGACAATGAAGACTGAGGAATGATGCTTAAAATTCAGATTTGCGTCAAGTATTAAATTACATTTTATAATATATTCACAGAAAATATTTACTTGGAAAAGGAAAAAAAATATTACAATATTTATTGCATGTCCAATCAAATAAAATAAGCCTTTGAAATTCATTTAAAATTCCTACAGACCTTTAAAGTTGTAATAGTAGTGTATATGTTTTGAGTCTTCGCTCTATTATGTCTTTGTTTACAATCTTTTCCATCACTATGCATGAAACTCCAAAGTAACAATTCAACTGAACCATTTACTGTGCTGTAGTTCCCACAAAACCAAACTAACTTGACCACTTGCTCCACAACATTTCTAAAATGTTTTTCCCCCACATCCTATTCTCTTAGTGCAGTGTTTTGTGCCCCTGACCAATCTCCCATGATCCTCTGCCAGCGAGTTTGTGGAAAACCAAAGAGATTGAGGGAATATTTGGGATTCATGTGTCTGTTTTCATTAAGCACAGTTCAGTTACAACTCTGCATCTGGCTACATTATTATAAGTGGAAATTAAAGAAAATCCTTAAGAGCATGAATGTAGTTTGTTTTCATTTTTGGCCACGATAACTCTGTTTCAGAGGATGAGTGTGGAAATATGGCTGGATGAAGATGAAATCAGGGTTTCTGGCTCTTGCTGGTGAGCACATGTCTCAGTAAATGTCTGAGAAAACATTCTTCAGATATATTACTGCATCTGTGTCCGTCTGTCTTTACGATCAGCTTTCAAATCAACAAAAGGTTGAAACTTGAAGCTTGTAATGCGCTACACATTTTTTTTCATGCAAAAAAAAAAAAAAAGAAAAGAAAAGATAGATGAGTGTATACTTAATTGAAGAGAATTTGAGATATATTTTTTAACGTTTAAGATTTTAACGTGAATTCCAGATCATATTTCATAAAAAAGAACTCAAATAAATAAAATAAATAAAAGTAATGTAGAAATTTTTTCTTACAACAGTGAAGCCGGTTTGAAGGATTATTTTGATCACTGAAATGCGGTAATATTAAAGGTGATTTTTAAAAATGTATTTAGCATAATAGATTGTATATTTTAAACATAACAACACACACACACACACACACACACACACACACACACACACACACACACACACACACACATATATATATATATATATATATATATATATATATATATATATATTAGACTTTGTTTGTCTATTATTCTTATGGCTTGTATTATATACTTAAAAATAAATTATATACTGTAAATTAGAACTTAAAAATATAAATTTTGGGGGGGTGGGGGGGTGGGAAATGTTTTACATTAATGAGAATATGAGCGGAGGAAATCCCTAAAATTTTATTAAATTTAATTGATAAAATAAAATATTGAATAAAATAAAATAATAATAATAATAATAATATATATATATATATATATATATATATATATATATATATATATATATATATATATAAAAAAAAAATACTTACAATAAAATAAATTTAAAAATAAATAAAAAATATAAAATTGATAAAATAAAACAATATAAAATGAGTTATAAAATAAAATAAAAGTAACTAAAATAAAATAGGAGTGAATGATGAACTGAAGCATTTTTGTTTCGTGAGATTCACCCTTAAAAACACTGGCTTTCTGTTAAATCACGGATTGATTTTGATTTTATTGTTATTATTATTATTATTATTATTATTATTATTATTATTATTAGTAATATTATTATTAT